CTTGTCCTCCTGTCAAAACTTCCTCAGGAGTCATCTCTACTAATATTGGGCCCATTACATCTTCCAAACTGAAGGATTCTACCTCTCTTGCTGCGAATATAGCTCAGTCAGACAATGATTCATTTGGTTCAGTTTCTCTCTCACTTGCGGACTATGCTGCACTCCAAACTCTTCTCAAGAAGGCTTCTCCTCAGTCTCAACCATATACTGGTAATCCCGTTGCTTGTGTTTCTCATTCTACATCACTTGGCACTTGGATATTTGACTCAGGTGCTACCGATCATCTCTGTGGTAATAAGGAACTCTTTACATCTCTTACTTATTCTGATCATTTACCTTCTTTTACCCTTGCGGATGGAACCAAAGCCTCAATTCGTGGGATTGGCCAAGTTCGTCCAACCTCTACCTTGGCCTTAACATCTGTTTATTACATTCCCGGCATCCCTTATAACTTAATTTCTATTAGTAAGTTGATCCACTCCCTCACTTGCACCATTACTTTCTCTAACCATTCTGTTTCTGTGCAGGATCCGGGTACGGGGGAAATGATTGGAGTGGGTCGTGAGTCACGGGGTCTTTACTATCTGGATGTGCCTCGTCCTTCAGTGGCACTCTCTCTCACAGAATCTCCATAACTTATCCACAGTCGCCTCGGCCATCCAAGTCTTTCAAAGTTGCAGAAAATGGTTCCTCTTTTATCCGGTCTTCAGTCTTTAGAGTCATGTCAACAAGGGAAGCATACACGTTCCTCTTTTGCCAGTCGAGTCAATAAACGAGCTGATGCCCCTTTCTCTCTTGTTCATTCAGATATCTGGGGTCCAAGTCGTACCTTGTCTATTTTAGGTTTTCGGTATTTCGTTACCTTTATTGATGATTTTTCCCGTTGCACTTGGGTCTATTTAATGAAAAATCGTTCTAAGTTATTTTCCATTTATAAAAAGTTTTATACTGAGATTCATACTCAATTTGGTATTTCTATTCGTATTCTACGTAGTGATAATGCTAAGGAATATGTTTCTATTGATTTTTCTAATTTCTTGGTCACACAAGGTACTTTACATCAAACTACTTGTCCTCACACTCCACAACAAAATGGGGTGGCTGAACGTAAAAACAGACATCTCATTGAAACTGCACGTACCCTTCTTCTTCATATGCAGGTTCCCCTTCACTTCTGGGCAGATGCTGTACTCATCTCTTGTTTTCTCATCAATCGCATACCCTCATCTGTGCTCAACAATGACATTCCTCATAACCTATTGCTTCCAGATGTTCCTCTTTATCCTCTAACTCCACATGTCTTTGGTTGTACTTGTTTTGTTCATGATCTCACTCCTGGTAAGGATAAGTTAACATCCAAAGCCTTTCAGTGTATCTTTCTTGGTTATTCTCGCCTTCAAAAGGGTTATCGTTGTTATTCTCTCGATCTTAAGCGTTACTTAGTTTCCGCTGATGTCACTTTTCTTGATCAACAACCCTTTAATTCTATTCCATCTCAGTTGTCACAGGTTGATCATGTTCTTCCTTTCCCTTTTCTTGACTTGTCTTTGCCAGCTGCAGGTGCTTCTATTCCAAATGAGCAACCTATTGCTTCTATACCTGAGGACCGTCCACTTCTCACCTATCAGCGTCGCAAAACTGTGCCTCCTGTCGACTCGACTCTTGCTGACTCATCGCCCACTGTTGTTGCTTCTTCCTCTCCGGATCCTTCACCAGAGGCTCTTCCAATTGCTCAAAGAAAAGGTACACGTACTACTCGTAACCCTTATCCTCTTTATACTTTTTTGAGCTATGACCGTCTTTCTTCACCTCATTTCACCTTTGTTTCTAGTCTTTCTTCTATTTCTATTCCTAAGACCACAGATGAAACACTTTCCCATCCAGGGTGGCGAGATGACTGCACTTCATTCCAATGGCACTTGGGACCTTGTTTCTGCTCCTCCAGAGAAGTCTACAGTTGGTTGTCGCTGGGTGTTTACTGTGAAAGTTGGACCTGATGGCCATGTTGATCGACTCAAGGCCCGCCTAGTTGCAAAGGGTTTTACTCAAATATTCGGCCTTGATTATAGCGATACATTCTCTCCGGTCGCTAAGATGGCGTCAGTTCGCCTATTTCTTTCGCCTATTTCTTGCTCTTGCTGCTATTCGTCACTGGCCACTCCTTCAACTTGACATCAAAAATGCCTTTCTTCATGGTGATTTACAAGAAGTTTATATGGAGCAACCACCGGGTTTTGTTGCTCAGGGGGAGTCTGGGAAGGTGTGTCGTCTTCGCAAATCCCTATATGGTCTCAAGCAGTCTCCTCGGGCATGGTTCAGTCGCTTCAGTTCTGCTGTTCAGGAGTTTGGCTTAATTCGCAGTAAAGTTGATCACTCTGTGTTTTATAGGATCACATCTCCTGATAAGTGCATCTATTTGTTAGTCTATGTTGATGACATCATCCTCACCGGGAGTGATCAAGCTGGAATTTGTCAGTTAAGACAGTATTTATTCAGTCAATTTCAGACAAAGGACCTCGAGAAGTTGCGTTACTTCTTGGGAATTGAGGTAGCACAATCTAGACAGGGCATTTCTATCTGTCAAAGGAAGTATGCCTTGGATATCCTAGAAGAGACTGGTATGTTGGCGTGTAAGCCAGTTGACACACCTATGGATCCTACTATCAAATTACTACCCGGACAAGGAGAACCATTATCTGATCCTGGACGTTATCGGAGGTTGATTGGGAAGCTCAATTATCTCACTGTGACTAGGCCGGACATTTCTTTTGCTGTTAGTGTCGCTAGTCAGTTTCTTGATCTTGATTCTCCGTGTGATTCTCATTGGGATGCTGCTGTTAGGATCCTTCGTTACATCAAAGGAGCACCAGGGAAAGGTTTATTATATTCAGATCAGGGAAATACAGAAATTTGTGGTTATTCAGATGCCGATTGGGCAGAATCACCCTCGGATAGGCGTTCTACTTCAGGCTATTGTGTTTTCTTTGGAGGAAACCTGATTTCTTGGAAAAGTAAGAAACAAATTGTTGTTGCCCGATCTAGTGCATAGGCCGAGTATCGTGCAATGGGAGTTGCTACCTGCGAGCTAATCTGGTTAAAGCAGTTGATTCGGGAGCTCCATCTTTGTGAACAGAAGAAACCCATGACTCTCATTTGTGACAATCAAGCTGCACTACATATATCCTCTAATCCTGTATTTCATGAGAGAACCAAACATATAGAGATCGATTGTCATTTCATTCAAGAAAAGATTCAGTCAGGAGAAATCAAAACGGAATTTGTCAACTCCAATGATCAACTCGCGGATGTCTTCACTAAAGCTCTTAGGGGTCCTCGGGTTGAATATATTTGTGGCAAGCTGGGTGCTTACAATATATATGCTCCAGCTTGAGGGGGAGTGTTAGAATAGTTGTAAAAATAGTTCAGTATATATATAGTCCCACATCGTATGAGCTCAACCTATTAGGTCTTTTAGTCTCTTTAAATATAGAGCTCTTGTACATTGTAATACACCATGTGATTATTCAATATACAATTATTCTTTAATCTCAAGTGATATCATTAGTGTAAAGGTGTTTGGCTTCCTCCCACACTTCATAACGTATCTGAAAAGAATAGAAAATATCCAAAATAATTCGATCAATAGACTGCCAAAAAATACTCAGAAGTTGATTATCAATCATTTCCCAATCAGATTTTTCAACCTTAGGGACATCAGTAGATTGAACAGTGAGATGATGCCCATACCCTGTCCAAAAAATCAGACACAAACAGAGGTGGCCCAATTCTTGTAGTTATCAGAACCCTTCAATTTGGAAGAGGTAATGGGACAAACATTAGTGAAGATGATACTTGCGAAAGTTTTGGCAAGAGTAGGAGGAGAATTAACCTCTAAGTGAAGAGGAGATGATGTTGCCATTATGAATGCAATAAATTAAATAAAGAGAGCAATTCTGTCCTGGAATGACCCAAAAAGGATGTCGGAATAGTAACTCCGGAGGTGAACAGTGACTTCGATGATGAACAGTACCTGGCGAGAACAGTACCATCAATGAACAGTGTTGGGTGAACGGGAACAAGCTAGAGGGACGCACGGCGTAGAGGAAGGAGAGAACACCTAAGCAGTGGGCTTAGGGTTTTTGCGGAAGCGAAAGTTCCCAGAAGAAAGAGCTCTGGAACCAACTTGAGATTTAATAAAATTGTACATTACAATGTACAAGAGCTATCTATTTAAAGAGATTAAATAATCTAATGGGCTAAGCCCACAAGATGGGACTATTCTATTATATACACTGAACAACTATTCTAACATAATCTAATGACCTAACTAACTGAAGCTGGCCCACATGGTTCTTTGAGTCCATCATTATTCCTTATAACCTACTAATAGATAATTATAAAATCACTAATGTAACCTCACCTAACAGCTTAAGCTTTTGGGTTGAATTGGTTCTTTACAATGTATCAGAGCCTCGGTGTCACGGGTTCGATCCTTACCGCCTCCCATTTAATTAATAAATAATTAAGTATTGTGGAGTTTCATAACACAGGTGAGTGGGCATATGCATTGTCCACCCTTCAAGCCTAATGGGCTCTCGAGTGAGAGAGCGTGTTAGAGAAGTATAAAACCATTAATGTAGCATCACCTAACAGCTTAAACTTTTGGGTTGAATTGGTTCTTTACACCTAATTTCCTAAATACGGGATTACTAACACACATACCTTCATTACTTCATCATTTAAATTTGATTTTCTTCCTTACTTCTTAAAAGGAGACATAATAACATATACAGGCCCCACAACATAAATGAAAATATATTACCATAAAATTTAATAAATTTTGAACCAAAATTCAATATTGAATTCATTATTCATAGATAAGTTTTATACAAAAGCTTAGACAATAGAACATCATTGTCTAACTAAAAAGTTTCTATCACAAAATTTTAGAGTTTTATCCATTGGATCCAAAGTCATTAAAAGATTTCTACACCAAATACCTCTTCAGGATGATAAAGAGACAGCTTAAGCACTTGTGGATCCCATGATTCACCAGGTGCCAGAGGGATGTTATGAAAGGTTGCACCAAACAATGACTGCACCAGCACCTTCAAACCCTCAATACAGTTTGACAAAGAAAAATATGATGCTATAACCTGCATACATGATTTTGCATTAACGTGAAAATACAAACACTGGTATGCATTAATGACAAAAAAACATGCAGGAATATTATATTTACCAAAGAATCCAATTTAAGGTATATTATATTTACCGAAGAATCAATTTTATAGGCAGAGGACTTCATCATTGTCATGTAATAGGCCTCATCCCACGGCCTTAAATCTCCATCACTTTGACCAGATTTTTCTCTCTTGAATTTCGTAAGTAACTTAAGCTCCTAAGATTGTAAGGAAAAGACAAAATACTTGTTCCAGTTACAAGCACAAGCCACTATGGCTATAACACCTTCCTGCCCTAGAAAGTATACAGGAATCTATACCTCTTTTGCCTTAGCTCGGACCATCTTGCTCATCTCAAGTAAAAATGACATAACAACTTTTGGTGATGAAGCCATGTTAGGCTTAACAGCAAAGTCAGCGTAAGATCTACACCCCATCATCTGGATCAAATAAGCAGATGTTAAAATCAATAGGTTGTGAAGTCAAAATAGAAGAAACACTTGGCTCTGTTGGGAAAAACATATCAAGCTATGTCAATGTGGATGCATTTTAACTACTTTTCCATAAATATAAAATTATGGCCTCCAAGAAGTCAAACCTACTTACTTATAATTCACAACACAGAAATATATGTTGAAATTATAGGGGTTTTGATAGAGAAGGAAGAAAAGGGATAATAAACTCTTAATAATAGAATATATATATATATATATATTGGTATATGGTGTAATGATGTTGTTAGAATATCTAGAAAACATCGTATGCATGATTATATCTTAAAATAATTAGAAGTATCCTAGAAAATCTCTTAGGAATATGTTGTAAGTATTGTAAGTAGTGTAGTAACACTACGAGGAATGTAGCCCCACATTGGTAATTATTATGTAATTATTTTATTAGCTATATAATATAGGCTCCACTTTGTAATTCTAACACACATATTAGATTATATTTCTCTCGTTTCCTCGCTATTTAACAAGGTAATAGAACTTCTATGACCAAGTGGTTTAGAGTTCGATCCTTGCCACCCTTATTCTTCTAATAAAATTGTTGAATTTTAGCATAAGTTAGGAATCTTGCGTGACGGGGCATGTTAGAAATGTAACACAACAATTCATCTGTTTTCATCCAATAGATTCAGTTTTGGGGAGATTTGACTTAAAAGGAGAAAAACCGAAAATTATTATTGATTTTCAGAAGTATATGTACAAAGGGATACGATATATATAGAGAGACTAACAGACCTAAGAGAATAAATCCAAATCCTAAAGAATAAGGAAACACTAATCTAACTAATAACGGAAACAAATATTACAAACATTTTCCATATTTAACACTCCCCCTCAAGCTAAGGAATATATATTTATCATTTTCAGCTTGCTAATAAGTTCTTGAAATTTGTTAGTGGGAAGTCCCTTGGTCAACGCATGTAAAGAACCATTTCAACCCAAAAGCTTAAATTATTAAATTAAGGCACTTTTAATTATTTTTATATTTCTCTAACATGCCCCCTCATACCGAAGCTCACTGGGCTAGAAGGGTAGACAATGCACAGGTCCACCTACCTATGCTGAGAAACTACACAATACTTCATTATTTATTATTTGAACGGGGGGTGATGAGGATCGAACCCGTGACCACTTGGGTGAACCTATATTAATGGTTTTATATGGAGTGGTGATTAGTCCACTATCTAGTTTCTCTTTGATGAAGTAGCGGTCGATCTTAATATATTTTGTTCGGTCATGTTGGACTAGGTTGTATGCTATACAAGTGGCTGACTTATTATCATAGAGTAACTTCATAGGTCTTTCACATCTCACCTTAGATCATCTGGAATGATTTTCAGCTATAACAATTCATAAATACCTTGAGCCATGGCTTGAAATTCTGCTTCTCCACTCGACCTAGCAATCACATTTTGTTTTTTATTTCTCCATATTACTACGTTTCCACAAAAAAACATACAATAGCCCAAAGAAGTTCGTCGATCAGTCACAGACCTGGCATAATCTGCGTCAATATAAACTTCTAGGGATTCCCCTTACTCCGGAATAACAATCCTGGAGTGGACATAAGGTACTGCATAATCTTGCCTATTGTGTGCATGCGTTTTTACCTTGGGTCATGTATGAACTGACTAATAATGCTAATTGCTTAAGTTAGATCAAGTCTAGTATGAGCTAGATATATCAATCTTCCCACCGGTCGTTGGTATCGTCTTTTGTCAACTGAAGGACTCTCCTCTTCATTCCCCAATTTGCAATAGGAATATTGGAAGATTTACATCCAAGCTTTCTTGCTTCTTTAAGGAGATCAAAGACATACTTTTGCTGACAGATAAAAATGCCTTCCTTTGAATGAGCTACTTCTATCCCAAGAAAATACCTCGGCTTACAAAAATCTTTATGTTGAGATATATAAAACCATTAATGTAGCCTCACCCAATAGCTTAAGCTTTTGGGTTGAATTGCTTCTTTACATGGTATCAAAGCCTCGGTGTACCGGGTTCGATCCTCACTGCCCCCCACTTTCTTTCTAGTGGAATTTCTTTCTTCGCACAGGTAGGTGGGCCTGTGCATCGTCCACCCTTCAAGCCCAGTGGGCTCTCGTGTAAGGGGGGCGTGTTGAGATATATAAAACCATTAATGTAGCCTCACCCAACAGCTTAAACTTTTGAGTTGAATTAGTTCTTTACATGGTATCAGAGCCTCGGTGTACCGGGTTCGATCCTCACCGCCCCCACTTTCTTTCTAGTGAAATTTCTTTCTTTGCACAGGTAGGTGGGTCTGTGCATTGTCCACTCTTCAAGCCCAGTAGGCTCTCGTGTGAGGGAACGTGTTGAGATATATAAAATCATTAATGTAACCTCACCCAAAAGCTTAAGCTTTTGGGTTGAATTGGTTCTTTACATGGTATCAGAGCCTCCGTGTACTGGGTTCGATCCTCGCCGCCCCCCACTTTCTTTCTAGTGAAATTTCTTTCTTCGCACAGGTAGGTGGACCTGTGCATCATCCACCCTTCAAGCCCAGTGAGCTCTCGTGTGAGGGGACGTGTTAAGATATATAAAACTATTAATGTAGCCTCACCCAACAGCTTAAGTTTTTGGGTTGAATTGGTTCTTTACACTTTAACTTCAAATTCAATTATTAATTTCTCTTGTAGGGCACGCTTCTCAACTATATCATCCTCTGTAATAATAATGTCATCAACATGAACAAGGAGAATAGCAACCTTACCTCCTTTGGAGTCTTTAAAGAAAAGTGTGAGATCTCCTTGATGCTGCTTGTATCCCAATGACATCATAACCTTGATAAATCTTTCAAACTAAGCATGTGGGGATTGCTTCAACCTATATAGGACTTTCTTCTACCTACAGACTTTATTCTCTCCGTTGTGGAGTCAAATCCAGGTGGGATCTCCATGTATACTTCCTCTTCTAACTCACCATTAAGAAAGACATTATGCACATCAAATTGGGTCAAGTCCCAATCAAAGTGAGCAGCAACGAACAATAGAACTCTCACGGTGTTCATTTTAGCCATTGGAGCAATCGTTTCCTCATAATCAATGCCACGAGTCTATGTGTAACCCTTGACTATTAATTACACCTTACACCTGTCAAGAGTACTATCTGAATTATATTTCAGAGTACAAACTCATTTACAGCCCACTGCTTTCTTTCTGCTTGCCTATCAACAACTTCTCGTGTTCTATTTTTTCTCCAAGGCTTTTATCTCGTCAAGCATGGCTTGATCCCAATTCTCATCTTTTAGCGCTTCTTGCATTGATGTTGGGATTGAAATGGAATAGAGTGTTGAAATAGAAATTTTATGCTGCATAGAAAATTTCTTAGAAGAGGCATAATGAGAGATATGGTATTAGGTACAAGACTTTTTCCCTTTCCTTAAGGCAATGGTAAGTCATTAGAATTTATAATACTAGGCTCAGGAATAGAGATAGTAATGCATTCAGTACTCTCACCAATGGTTCAAGCGATTGCAGTTACTAATTATACAATAATTCGGGTGTCCCAACCTTGTGTAGATTATCCTTCTGTAAATTGATAAGGGGAGGTATGTTGGATGAAGTATCAAATGAACTACCAGCCTCATCAACTAGGTCTACATTCTCATTATCAGCAACATCAACTAAGTCTTGCTGCTCATTATCATACAGTGTAGTAACTGGGGCAGATTCAATAGAGTCTAACTCACGAGGTTTGAGGAAAGGTAAGTGGGACTTAAACTTGAGGAAAATGGACGAAGCTTATGAACTATTCTCCCCCTGAAGCTGAGGACTAGTGAAGAATGACTCAGACTCATTAAAAGTGACATCCATGGAGACAAAAAAATTGCGACTCGGAGGATGATATACTTAAGAGCTCAGGGATCCAATTTACTGCGATGTTGTTTACAAACATGAACTAATGCAACACACCCAAAGACGCGAGATTGAAGGCTCTGCATAATAGGGATAGATGGGAAACAAGAGGTCATGAGGTGAACAGGACTTATATTTCCAAGAATCCGAGAGTGTAACCGGTTGATCAAATATGTTGCAATTATCACAGCCTCTTCCCAATAAGAGCTGGGAAATAGATGTCTAGAAAAGTAATGCTCTACCACTTCAAATAGGAGACAACTTTTCCTCTTAGCAACCACGATTTGTTGAGGGATTTAGAGATGTATAAAAATATTAATGTAACCTAACCCACAACTTAAGTTTTTGAGTTGAATTGATTTTTTACATGGTATTAGAGCCTCAGTGACACGGGTTCGATTCTCACCGCCTCCCATTTAATTAATAATTAATTAAGTCTTGTGGAGTTTCTTAGCACAGGTAGGTTGGGCCTGATGCAACATCCACCCTTCAAGCCCAATGGGCTCTCGTGTGAGGGGGCATGTTAGAGATGTATAAAACTATTAATGTAGCCTCACCCACAGCTTAAGCTTTTGGTTTGAATTGGTTCTTTACAGAGGGGTATCTACACATGTGAGTTCATGAACTATGTCGGTATCCTTAATAAATTGTGAGAGTTGTTGGTTGATGTATTCAATACCATTATCAATCCGTAGTCTTTTAATATTTTTTCCAAATTGGGTCTCAATCAAGTGATATAATTGGATGAATAACAATGGCATGTCCGATTTGTCCTTCATTAGGAAAATCCAAGTTACTCGGGTACAATCATCAATGAATGAAACAAACCACTTAGCACATGAGATATTATGTACTTTAGATGGTCCCAAAACATCGAAGTGAACAAGATCAAATGGTTCGACACTTTTTATGGAGCTAGAAGGAAAAGATCTACTATAGTGTTTTGCAAACTCATAGACATCACAATGAAGTGATTCAACAGACACGTATTTGAATAGGGTCACAAACAAAGTTTTGAGAAGACTAAAAGGTGGATGCCCCAGATGCTTGTGTTGAAGTCAAATCATAGACTTTGAAGTGGACTGGTTATGAGCCATCGACAACTGTTCCCAAGCACTATTTGCTACATGTTCTTGAAAGAGATAGTACAACCCACCATGTTCCTTAGCAACTCCAGTCGTCCTTCCGATGGTGAGATCCTGAAAGACAATGAGTAGGAAAGAATATTACAGTACACTTCAAATCCGTGGCAAGTTTGTGAATGGAGAGAAGATTATGAGAGAGTTTGGGAACAAGGAGAACATGTTTTAGATATAAGGAGGGTTGAACTTGAATAGTATTTGGGATCCATCAGCGACAGTAATAGTACGAATACTAGTGGTGGTTGATAATAGATAAATGTATCAAGCTGTCAAGTCATATGATTAGTCGCACCAGAGTCAACAATCCATAACATTTCAAAATCAGTGCGGAAACCAAAAAATATTGAGTATATGTGTCCTTACCAGTCATAGCACAAAAGCAACAATAAGATTTCTTCCTAAAGGTATCCACAAGGATCCAAAAACTAGAGCGCTAACTTTCTTGAGTTACTGGAGGTCCCCAAACAGCGACAAAAATGTCAGATCTGAGCAACGCAAGCCTGAACGAACCAAAAAAATATCTAAGCTTTATGGGAAAACAAAGACCCACGACCCAAATGGTGTCAGATCCTTGGGACTGACTAGTCTGAAAAATGGTTGGAAAAGTGGTCAACTGGAGATAAAAACAGCAGTTGAAACTTTCCGCTGTGTAGAGCAGTTCTGGTACGCAAAGGTGCAGTAGAATTGTAGATCTAGAAATTATGAATAAAAAAGTTGTCTTCTTGATCGAAAAAGTCACCGGAAACATTTTCTGGTGGCAACTGGTAGCCAGAGGTTGAGACACGATAACTGTGAAAGAGGATCCATACTAAAGGCGGCGACTTGGATACATAAGGCATAAAGAAGGATCCGCACTAGAGGCAATGGTTGCGGAAGCAAAAAGCTCCTAGATCAAAGCTCTAATGCCAAGTTGAAAGGAGAAAAACTAAAAAATATTGTTGATTCTCAAAAGTACATGTACAAAGCGATAAGATATATATAGAGAGACTAATGGGCCTAAAAGAATAAACCTAAATAATAAAAAAATAAGGAAACACTAATCTGATTATTCTAACAAATAAAGGAAACAATATTCCATATTTACAACAATTTGGTTCAAGACAATAATGTTTTCTAGAGAGGATTTGTTATCCTCTTTCTTTGTACTTTTCTCTCCTTCCTTAATAAATTTCTTTTTCTACAAAAAAAAAATAAAAAAACAGAATGTCAAATGTGTTCCCATGGCTACATTCTTATAGAAATTTATGATAGGGATCTAGATATCATGTGCACCAAAAATTAATATAAAATGAGTAAAAGAGACAACGTACACTCTTATGCTATGGCAAAAACATAACAGAGAGCTTAAAGAGAGTTAGAGTGCCTAATGATGATACAGACCTGAGCTAGCTCGTGTCGAGCAGATATGAGCCTCTTGAGAACATCAACATTTGCATGTGGAACAGAATTTCCTTTTATATATACCATTTTCCTAACCTTAAAATACATAAGAGAGAAGCACACAAAATTAACTAAATTCAAAATGGAAAAATGAGCTATAAGTTTGTTGCTTAGGCTCATTTGAGAATACCAACAAAATTCATCAGCACTATAGAGTCAAGAATAGTAAGTTGCTTCGAAGATTAAATGTAATTCCAAATGCTTTTCCAGTTCACCTGAACTTACTGGACACTCCTTTAAAAGACTCATGAGTAATCCTTAGTACGAATATCAACATATGAGAGTAAACTTCCAAATCATCAAATAGAAACTACCTCATCATCCGATGAAAATTGTAGCAAAGAAGCAAGAGTTTGTGGGTCTGTTGTGATTTGAAATCCTTTCTCTTTAAGGGTGCCCCTGGACCCTGATTTATCCGTAGTTATTAAAGATTCTGACCGAGAGATAGGCTTAACAAGATAATGTAAATTTTTAGGGATGCGAGATGAAGGATATATGTCAACAGTTCCTGGGTCCATGACAATATTTTCATTGTACCTAACCAAACCAAACAAAATGCAAACAGATCAAGAACACAGCAAAAACAGGCCTAATTCCAACATGCTATAGTTTACTGTTCGGGAGTATAAGTAATGAAGCAATGACTGAATTGCAATCACAAAAGGAAACATTTCACAAGTACTATCAACTCCAGTAAAATACAATTTACAGCAATGATGTCACCTAGTAAAATTCAATTCTTTCTTTTTTCTGGAGAAGGAAGCCAATAGGCTCTAAATGTTTCTGTTAGAATATTAGATATGATATGATTAGATTTGATTAGATATGATTGGATTCTGTCTTATCCGTAAATAGTCTGACTGTATTCTGACTGTATAGGATTAGGTTTGGATTAGGTTTGGGCCTTACACTTAAGCCCATTAGGATCTCTATATATTGTAACTCCCTGACACAGATCAATACATAACGTATTCTTTTACATTTAACTTGGTATCAGAGCTTTTTCGCTCTGGGGATCCGCTTCCGCTAAAACCCTAAGCCCACTGCTTAGGTGTTCTCTTCTACTTTACCGTGCATTCTTCCGGCGAGTTTCTCTCTAAGCCGTGTGTCTCTCCGGCTTGTTTCTTCAACTGTCAGAACCACTTCCCACCGCCAACAACCGCCGCTCGTCACTGTTCAGGCCACCGGAACCACTTCCGGCCGCCAACAACCGCCGCTCATCACTGTTCCGGCCACCAGAGCACTGTTCCGGCGAGTTTTCAGCCCAGACTACCTGCGATCAGGACCGTCTCATCCCGGCGACCAGTTCTGTGGTGGTCCGACCACCGTCGCGTCATCAACGCGCCTCCACGCGCCGTTCTTCTCCTCTGCGCGTGGTGCTCACGCGCCACCTTCAACCGGCGCGTGTGCACTGTTCCGGTGGATTTTTCCGGCCGTTCTTGGACAGAACTTCTCGCCTTCTTCTCCTCTTTCTGGATCTGTGCTTGGTTCTTTGTGGGTCTCACTTTAGACGCGTGGTTCTCCTTGATTGGATATCGTTTGCCTTCGTTTACGGCTTTTATATTCTGTTTTTAAATGGCAGCAGCGTCCACTGATCTCTCGGAGGATTCTACCTCTCTTGCTGCGAATATAGCTCAGTCAGACAATGCATCATTTGGTTCAGTTTCTCTCTCACTTGCGGACTATGCTGCACTCCAAACTCTTCTCAAGAAAGCTTCTCCTCAGTCTCAACCATATACTGGTAATCCTGTTGCTTGTGTTTCTCATTCTACATCACTTGGCACTTGGATATTTGACTCAGGTGCTACCGATCATCTCTGTGGTAATAAGGAACTTTTTACATCTCTTACTTATTCTGATCATTTACCTTCTTTTACCCTTGCGGATGGAACCAAAGCCCCAGTTCGTGGGATTGGACAAGCTCGTCCGACCTCTACCTTGGCCTTGACATCTGTTTATTACATTCCTGGCATCCCTTATAACTTAATTTCTATTAGTAAGTTGATCCACTCCCTCACTTGCACCATTACTTTCTCTAACCATTCTGTTTCTGTGCAGGATCCGGGTACGGGGGAAATGATTGGAGTGGGTCGTGAGTCACGGGGGCTTTACTATCTGGATGTGCCTCGTCCTTCAGTGGCACTCTCTCTCACAGAATCTCCACAACTTATCCACAGTCGCCTCGGTCATCCAAGTCTTTCGAAGTTGCAGAAAATGGTTCCTCTTTATCCGGTCTTCAGTCTTTAGATTGTGTGTCATGTCAACAAGGGAAGCATACACGTTCCTCTTTTGCCAATCGAGTCAATAAACGAGCTGATGCCCCTTTTTCTCTTGTTCATTCAGATATCTGGGGTCCAAGTCGTACCTTGTCTGTTTTAGGTTTTCGGTATTTCGTTACCTTTATTGATGATTTTTCCCGTTGCACTTGGGTCTATTTAATGAAAAATCGTTCTGAGTTATTTTCCATTTATAAAAAATTTTATACTGAGATTCATACTCAATTTGGTGTTTCTATTCGTATTCTACGTAGTGATAATGCTAAGGAATATGTTTCTATTGATTTTTCTAATTTCTTGGCCACACAAGGTACTTTACATCAAACTACTTGTCCTCACACTCCACAACAAAATGGGGTGGCTGAACGTAAAAACAGACATCTCATTGAAACTGCACGTACCCTTCTTCTTCATATGCAGGTTCCCCTTCACTTCTGGGCAGATGCTGTACTCATCTCTTGTTTTCTCATCAATCGCATGCCCTCATCTGTGCTCAACAATGACATTCCTCATAACCTATTGCTTCCAGATGTTCCTCTTTATCCTCTAACTCCACATGTCTTTGGTTGTACTTGTTTTGTTCATGATCTCACTCCTGGTAAGGATAAGTTAACATCCAAAGCCTTTCAGTGTATCTTTCTTGGTTATTCTCGTCTTCAAAAGGGTTATCGTTGTTATTCTCCCGATCTTAAGCGTTACTTAGTTTCCGCTGATGTCACTTTTCTTGATCAACAACCCTTTAATTCTATTCCATCTCAGTTGTCACAGGTTGATCATGTTCTTCCTGTCCCTTTTCTTGACTTGTCTTTGCCAGCTGCAGGTGCTTCTATTCCAAATGAGCAACCTATTGCTTCTATACCTGAGGACCGTCCACTTCTTACCTATCAGCGTCGCAAAACTATGCCTCCTGTCGACTCGACTCTTGCTGACTCATCGCCCACTGCTGTTGCTTCTTCCTCTCCGGATCCTTCACCAGAGGCTCTTCCCATTGCTCAAAGAAAAGGTACTCGTACTACTCGTAACCCTTATCCTCTTTATACTTTTTTGAGCTATGACCGTCTTTCTTCACCTCATCTCACCTTTGTTTCTAGTCTTTCTTCTATTTCTATTCCTAAGACCACAGGTGAAGCACTTTCCCATCCAGGGTGGCGCCAAGCGATGCTTGATGAGATGACTGCACTTCATTCCAATGGCACTTGGGACCTTGTTTCTGCTCCTCCACAGAAGTCTACAGTTGGTTGTCGCTGGGTGTTTACTGTGAAAGTTGGACCTGATGGCCATGTTGATCGACTCAAGGCCCGCCTAGTTGCAAAGGGTTTTACTCAAATATTCGGCCTTGATTATAGCGATACATTCTCTCCGGTCGCTAAGATGGCGTCTGTCCGCCTATTTCTTGCCCTTGCTGCTGTTCGTCACTGGCCACTCCTTCAACTTGACATCAAAAATGCCTTTCTTCATGGTGATTTACAAGAAGAAGTTTACATGGAGCAACCACCTGGTTTTGTTGCTCAGGGGGAGCCTGGGAAGGTGTGTCGTCTTCGAAAATCCTTATATGGTCTCAAGCAGTCTCCTCGAGCATGGTTCAGTCGCTTCAGTTCTGCTGTTCAGGAGTTTGGCCTAATTCGCAGTAAAGTTGATCACTCTGTGTTCTATAGGATCACATCTCCTGATAAGTGCATCTATTTGTTAGTCTATGTTGATGACATCATTCTCACCGGGAGTGATCAAGACGGAATCCATCAGTTAAAACAACATTTATTCAGTGCATTTCAAACAAAGGACCTTGGGAAGCTGCGTTACTTCTTGGGAATTGAGGTAGCACAATCTAGACAGGGCATTTCTATCTGTCAAAGGAAGTATGCCTTGGATATCCTAGAAGAGACTGGTATGTTGGCGTGTAAGCCAGTTGATACACCAATGGATCCTAATGTTAAGTTATTGCCCAGACAAGGGGAGCCGTTATCTGATCCTGGACGTTATCGAAGGCTGATTGGGAAGCTCAATTATCTTACTGTGACTAGGCCAGATATTTCTTTCGCTGTCAGTACGGCCAGTCAGTTCCTTGATTCCCCTTGTGATTCACATTGGGATGCTGCTGTGAGGATCCTCCGATACATCAAAGGAGCACCAGGAAAAGGTTTGTTGTATTCGGATCAGGGAAATACAGAAATTTGTGGTTACTCAGATGCCGATTGGGCAGGATCACCCTCGGACAGACGCTCTACTTCTGGTTATTGTGTCTTCTTCGGAGGAAACTTAATCTCATGGAAAAGCAAGAAACAACCTGTTGTTTCCCGATCTAGTGCAGAAGCTGAGTATCGTGCAATGGCAAATACTACCTGTGAGTTGATCTGGTTAAAGCAGTTGATTCAGGAGCTTCATCTTTGTGAACAGAAACAACCCATGACACTCATCTGTGATAATCAAGCTGCGCTACATATATCCTCTCCTGTTTTTCATGAGAGGACCAAACATATAGAGATTGATTGTCACTTCATTCGGGAAAAGATTCAGTCAGGAGAAATCAAGACAGCTTTTGTCAACTCATCTAATCAACTAGCAGATGTTTTCACTAAAGCTCTTAGAGGTCCTCGGGTTGAATACATTTGTAACAAGCTTGGTGCTCATAATATATACGCACCAGCTTGAGGGGGAGTGTTAGAATATTAGATATGATATGATTAGATTTGATTAGATATGATTGGATTCTGTCTTATCCGTAAATAGTCTGACTGTATTCTGACTGTATAGGATTAGGTTTGGATTAGGTTTGGGCCTTACACTTAAGCCCATTAGGATCTCTATATATTGTAACTCCCTGACACAGATCAATACATAACGTATTCTTTTACATTTAACTGTTTCATAATAAAGTTAAATCCAAGTATAAAAATATTGGCAGAGTACGAGTAAGAGTAACAATGATTACTAATGGAAGGATAGGAAGGGCAAACAATTAAAAAAAACAATAATGGTATAGATCCTTTAAATTTTACAGGCATTTGAATTGACATATCATAACAGACACTGTTTGGGTTTAGAGTTGCTCAAGCTAAATTGATTTACCATGTTATCAATGAATGACCCATCCTTGAAATTCTTAAATAATGGAACTCATGTTGTCTTTAAGAATACATGTAAATATAATTTTAATGGATCTATTAGGAAGTAACATTTAACTTATGACAAAAGATACCAAATTTTCTGTAAATAATGATTCTCAAAACTTTCACAAATTATTTAAGATCACTATGCATTCAATAACTGACCCACCACCAAAATCTCAGTCTCTTGAAAGAATTTATAAACAAGAGTAAATGATGATGGAAAAGAGAGGAAGCAAGATATTTAGATAAAACGAAAAACATTAAAAATGAAGATGGAAAAGTTTCAGTATCTGAGCAAGATATCAAGGAAAATGGAGGTGTTATTCTAAAGATGTCATTGAAGGGCATGCAATAAGAATAAACTAGTTTGTCCACTAGAGAGGATTAACAAATGCATAATTCAAAGGAGGCACCAAAAGAAAATGGACAATGATAAAGCAATCGGACCTCCAAATAATATGCCAAATGAAATCTGGAAGTGTTTAGCGGTGAAAGGTATAACTGGGCTTACTAAGTTATTCAATGAGATAATGACATCTAAGAAAATGCAACATGAGTGGAGAAGGACCCCTTTGATATATATTTATAAGAATCAAGGAGACACAAAATTTAGCAATTAGTAGTCCGATCAAGCTCATGAGCCGCTATTAAATTGTGGGAAAGAGTGATTGAAAGTAGAGTAAGGCAAGAGATATGCATATTAGAAAACCAATTTAGTAGTATGTTAGGAAGGTCGACCATGGAGGCAATATACTTATTGCAGGGTTTTTTTTTTTTCTGGGGTAAGTTATATAAGGGTGGGGGGAAGGGAAGAGGACCACATACGGTGTTCATTGATCTAGAAAAAGCCTAAGATAGGGTGCCATGACGAGTCCTTTGAAGGCTGTAGAGAAGAATGGAGTTCAAATTGCACATATTTGGGCTATAAAAGGTATGTCTGCCAGGGCAACAACATTGTGAAAACTTATGAATGCGTAACAAAAGATTTTCCTATAAAAAATGGTTTTCAACAATGATCGACCTTGAGTGCCTTCCTTATAAATCTTACTACACAAATCCCAAGAGACAGTGCCTGATGTATGTTTTATGTTGATCATATAGTCCTAATTGATGATATATGGAATGCAAGTTCAGTAAGACACAAGGGAGCAATGTTATAAATGTAGAAATTAGGAACCATATCTTATCGCAAGTTGTACAGTATAGGTATCCTGGATTCACTTACAAAGTGGTAGGGAGATTGATAGGGATGTCACACAGATTCAACCATATTTTGTGATAGCAATTAGCAAAGTGACTATTACACGAGAATTCTACCAAAAAGCAATAAGACTAGCGATGCTCTATGAGTAAATGCTTGGCAGTGAAGTGCCAACTAAAACAAAACGATGTGTACCAAATATGAGAGAGTTGAGATGGATGAGTGGACATGCAAAAAAGACAACATAAAATGTAAGTTACCCAGAGAAAGTTAGAGTCATTGGGAGAAACCAATAAAAAAGACCTTGCTATTAATGTTTGTACTGAACATAGGTTTTTGATATAGCCCAATGGCATCAGCTAATCCATATAGCCAACCCCACATAGTGTGAAAAGTCTTCTTGGTTGTCGATGTTGCACTGCTTATTGGTCATACAATTACTCTAAACATATATGAGGAATTTCAATGTCCAGCAGATGTGTTAATGTGATTTCATAACATTAAAGTACTGGAGCGCAAATTTTTCAACCATGTAATCCTTTTGTCATTTTCTATATAACATTTAAGGACCCATTCTTTTTATATGGTACCAGTTTACCAACAAATAGACAAAAGAGGGGGCAAACATAGTAGAAATAAAAACATAAAGCTTGAGAAACAGACTGTTTGCTCTGAAAACTAATTGTTCATTTTTCACCACAAGCAAAATAAGTGTCAAATTAATGCGTAAATATCAATTATAAACATACTTACTCTCTACATAGCTGAGAAATTTCAATATTTAGCATGTTTATTTGATCTAATTTCTCTGCAAAAAAAGTACATCATATAAAAAACTTTTTTAAAGAGAAAAGGCTCCCTACATTATTTTTGAGAACATACATGGCATTAGGAGTAAAATGGTTACCAGGGCAAAGATGAATTCCACCCCTTTCCATGTCAATACGTAAGTTTCTAACTCCCCTTTGAGCTTCATTAGAAAGTATATGACATTCTTGCTCAGCTTTCTTCACCGCATCATAGAGATCACGATTTGTGTTCAGATACTGCACAGCAAATAGAGGAAATATTAAATGCTTGTATTGGGAATAGATTTTTATGTAACTTCGGTTTAATCATATGTTAATCTAATGTCTACATTTTACTTATAAGACAAGATTGAAGAGTCCAAATATTCATGGGTTAAGTTTTACCCGAATGCTTTCTTTCAAATCATGGTCAGCTTGGAAGTTCTAATCAGCACATTATAATTTCCAAGTCAGATCCCAGACATTTATTGTGATAACCTTAGCACAGTGGTCCTCTCTCAAGTCATGTTTCGCACACCAGGACAAATCACATGAAATTGGATATCTTTTTTGTTCGCAAGAAGGTTTTGACTAAGAGTTTACTGGTTTGTCATGTCCCAGCTCACAACCAGCTTGCAAATACCTTCACCAAGCCACTTTCAGCCGCTCAGCTTTGTGAGCTTCAAGACAAATTCATGGTCTTGGACCACTTACAGTTGCTCCAAACACCTTGAGTTTGCGAGGTTGCTTTGGAGAGTATACACAGCATATGTATCTCTGAGTCTAGGCATTTGTATAGCTGTAGTTAGTTACACTACTGTTAGCTGATTTCAGCTTATGTCAGCATCAGTTAGTTACCTGTTGAGTTGTCAGGTTGTTAGACAGTACAGTTGGTTACGTACTTCAGATCTATTATTGATCTCTCACTCTATATTACAAATACTGACTCATCACATTAGCGAGATTAGTTTTGAATAGATCCTCAAAATTCAGAGACAAGTACTTTCTTTCTCTCACACACATTTTATCTCTTTTTCTCACTCTTTCTGTTATTTCTTGACTTGTTCTAGTGGAAAGTAAATGACAAGACACATAAAGTTTTCATGATACAAGAGAAAACTAAAAGAAAGATGATTTCCTAATATAAAAAATACACTGAAAAGATAACTTACACATTATAAAAGTTACGATTCTCCTATTTCTTCTTCCAAATAACAAAGGAAGACAAGGGAGGTTTTCTAGAACTAAACTTAATTAGTGGCTAGACTAACTTTCAACACAAAATAAAGGACGTAACAATTAATTAAACTTATTGAGAAACGATACAGAGGAGTGGAATGCAACATGAGACCAACATAAATAAAAGGGAAAATTAATGATGTTTACAGTTTACACTCGTTAATATTAATGTAAACCTAATAGAAAACTAAAGTGTGGCAGCGTCAGCACCCCTGCTTGACCCCTTTTCATTTTTCCAATTTACAGCATCAAGCAACTCACTCCTACCAAAAAGCAAGCAGAGGTCTCTTCTTTTCCTTACCAAGATCCTGTAACCAAATTATAGTCTACCAAGTTGTTAATATACATTGAAGCCTCCACAAAAAACATTCAGTTTGCTACCTCAGTCCGCTTCTGTTCGTAAATATACTCATTATGAACATACACCAAAGCATACACATACCAAAACTCTTAATAGATATACAACAACAACAACATATGATCTTTTCTTCTTCTCAGGCTACAATCTTGTTCAAAAACTTGTCTTGTTTGCCAAAGGAAATGCAAGGAGCTAAACCTGATCTTGTTACAAAAATTACTGGCAACAAAAATAACAAGAAAAACAAGCAGCGAGAATCACCGGTCACCTCACATGTATATATTCATTAATTTTCATTGATGCCTTCCCTGCCTCCTCAACAAATTCCCTGATTCACCAAAAAATAAAATGAACTAACATCAGAAGAATTACCATTCTAACACCGAAAGAACTCATAAATTACTAACTACACAAGAAAACATGAATGTGAATCAATTAAAAAAAAAAGAACCTGTCTGGATGAGTATGCCTACACAATTCAGCAGAGTCAACAACAGAACACACCTGACACATCAAACACCCAAGTTATTCCAAGTAAATGCAAAACAATAGCATTTTTTTTTATAGATACTTCTAAAGCCCGAATGGGCCCGACTAATCCAATTTCGGATTTAAGCCTCTCCACCCTCTCAGGAGTTACTGCGATTCTCAGGAATTGAACCTACTATCTTTTAGGCAAGTCAAATCCCAACGCAACTATTAAATCAACAACTCTTGGGTACAATAGCATTAAGTTAAGAGTCAATGACTACAATACAACTACAAGTAATCCAAACTTACAGTATCAGAAATCTCATCCATTGTTTTCATTATTTCAGAAGCCGATGGCCTTGTAGAAATGTAACTGATGAGTTCTCCAGACCTGACATACCATAATAATAATACCCATGTTTTAAGATTGCGCAATCAATCCTAATAACAACCAGGAAATTTAAAAATGCATGTGGCAAAAACAATCAATAGTTCAAACGATAGCACTATAGCTGGAAATAGAGAAAATGAAATGGAACCAGATTAGTTGAGTTTCCGATTAACCAACCGTGGATAAATTAATTGAAAAAAAAAAAGGGCATGGTGTTATTTGTGAAGTGAAATTTGGTTACCTTTGAATGGCATCATCAACGAATGATTGAAAGCCTTTTGGGGTATTTAAATGGTGAAAGCCATAGAGACCAGTGGGTAGTGAGGAGAAGGTGCGAATAGTGAGAGGGTTCAGTTTCTTGTGACGGAAAACTCTGCTCACAACGCTCCACATCGTTGCTTCTTCCTAGTAGCAAATTCCAGAGGCAGCGGTAACGGCTGGTTTTTGAAAGAAGAATAATGCAGGAGACACAATCCCTTATACAAATATACAATTATGCATTATAAAATAAAAAATTTTAACAAAAAAATTGGCAAAATATGTTTGAGGTAAAATTTTGGGAAATGGTGTTTCGTGATATTGAAATGTGCTTCTTCTTCTTTTAAAATATGACGTCGTTCAAAGAGGGTTCGTTTTTAGTAAATTATTTGTTTCGAGAGTCGTTTCGCAGAAAAAATCAAGGTATTTTTATAATTTTAATTTATTTTGAGATTATAATAACTTTTATCATTATAATTTTTTAATCTCTTTACTCTAAAATAATGTTGTTTGGAGAGTGAATGTAAATAAGTTATCTGCGGTCACAGTATAAATATTTATTTATTTTTAAAAATTAGTGGACCCACTTTATTTGTCTCTTAACATAAGAGAATTTCTCTCCTACTATATGAGATAAGTAATCCTCTTAATTTTTTATTGTCTATTAAACTATTTTATTTTAACTCTTCATGAGTTACAAGACTTGTTTTATTGAAAACTTGAATTTTTCGTTGGGTTGTAACGTCAAATGACTTTATTTTGATATAGCTAGTGATTTGTATAACTGAAATTTTAAATTTTTTGAAAAATTGAACACCGATTCAATCCAAGCCGAATAGAATTGGATTGAATTAAATTAAAAAAAATCAAACTAAATAAATAATTAAGTGATCAAACCGAAGGAATTTGGTCAGATTATTTTTGCTTCAAAATTGATCAAATTCCCGCCAACACCCCTACAAGTCAAAGGGATGACACCCTTTGATACCATGTTGAAATTACAAGGATAGTTGACCATACTACCTTTGCAAGATGTTAGTTATCTATTCTCCAATTTTGACATATCTTGTTGCTAGCATAAATCCATGTAAGATCTTCTCTTGAACGGGGTGGCACTTGACTTCTATTTGTATTGTCCTTTCATGAAAAACTAGGTTAAGGTAAATGTGAAGGGCAACTTGATTGTCACGTCTTACCTTCCTAGGTGAAAAAACCTTTAACCCAATATGAAATAATACACCTACAATAATTAACGAGAAGTTTGGGCTATTCCTTGGTATTTAAACCCTACACTTTAAATTACAAGCATGTTTTATTTCTTATTCTTTTGACTTTTGAGAGATCAAATTTCTTTCGAGAAACACATCATAATCGGATGTTGAATTTTAACATAGAAGACACCTAGCTTAACCTAGGTCAAAGTAACTTTCAAATCTACAACAGCCATGGTCTTTATAAAGCATCCAAAGTCATGAGACTTCTTTTTTATACCTTAAGATAACATTGCAACCCCATGAGAATACGAGGGAAATAACAAAATTTAACTAATTACAATTACTAGGAAAGAGATATTTGAATGTATGAGAATAAGGTAATTCAATTTATCAACCAATTTCCTATACCTCTTAGGATCTGATTGTTGGACTTCCTCCTTCAATGCTAAGTTCAAGTCCACAGGGGGGTTTCCTAAAAACCCTAAACTCTAGATCTCACCTCCTCTATATATTCATTAATTGTGCGTGGAGGCTAGGTTAGGGATGTGAAGAGAGAGATTAGAAATTTGAGAAAATTGTTTGAGAGGTTTGAGCAAAGCTTTATGCTTTGTATTTGAGAAATTTTTAGAGAGAGTTTGAGTGAAACATCTCTAGGGTAGTTTGATTATCACCATTGTTGGAAAGGTTGAGTTAACCATCACATTGGTGAATTTGATTATTTGTAACCATTATTTTCATAATGGAATTTTGATCTAGACTAAGTCTCGTGGGTTTTTTACTTCTTCATTGGAGAAAGTTTTTCCACGTTAAAAACTGCTTGTGTTCTCTCTCTCCTTCTATCTCTCTCTACTGTTTGTGTTTTTGATTTTTCGATGCGCTGCCCAACCTGGTGAAGTTCAGGCCGAGGTAATTGCCGAGATCCGAGATCCAGGATCTCATTGACTGACTTCCGCAAAAAGGCCCCTGAGCTGATCTGAGGGAACCGAGTTTCCAACAGTGGTATCAGAGCCCGAGTTCGACGAGTTCTGAGGGAGACGAGATGGAGACCAGTGACATAACCCATGATGGAGATATGTTCAAGCTGACCGCAGACAATTTCACCTATTGGAGACCGATGATGGAAGATCATCTCTACTGTAAAGATTTACATGAGCCCATTATCCTTGATGAGAGACCGGAAGGCAAAATCGATAAGGAGTGAGAGATTCAGAGTCGTAAGGCGGTAGCTACGATCAGAAAATATATTGACAAAAGCCTCTTTGAGCACGTGTCCGAGTTTATGAACGCGTACGAGTTGTGGACGAAGTTGGAGTCAATGATTCAGAAGAAGATTCCCAGGAACAAAGCACACCTGGTTCGCCGACTTGTAAAGTTGGAATATGTAACACCACGTGTATACCCGGTTTGTTAACATGTCATCGTATTAAGCCACACTTAATTAAAAATACGGAATATCTTTTTCTTTTCAATTATGACGTCATTATCATTACCAAGTTGAATTACTTAATTCATTTCCAAAACATTGCCTGTATGTAAATTGCAAATAGACAGCTAACTGAATTATCTCAATACATAAATATTTGTGAGTATCTAAGTCACAGAACTACAACACGTAGACCGGACATAATCCTGATACAATTAAACAACTCGAATCTAAAAGCATAAAGTCAAGTCAATGTGGTATGAACACCATGCTCATCAAATAAGGCAACATAGCCAACAGAGTCTCCACAAAATAATCCATAAGATGAAGCTAAACACATAATAGCAACAAACATAATCCAGCATCCAAGCATAATCAGCATAAGAAGATAAACATCAATCAACTAAGCTCCGGCCTCCTGCCGCCCGAGGCCTCAACCCCCGAGTTACCTGAACCTGAAAATGGTCCCCCAAACGTGGGGTGAGATCTCTAAACAGAAATCTCAGTAAGACAAGGGGTCCTCAAGGATCTTCCACCCCAAGCTCACTTACATGTGCATAAGTTCCAAAAGTAATTTAACAGTATAAGTTCCAAAACGAGTGCAATGCAGCAGATAATCATGTCATGTGTGTTATAACTATTCTACTGATCAGAGAAGTGCAGGAATACGTTTATTACCCACACAGTACGCGCCCATGCCGTACATGCCCATAGGAACTTAATCCCGTCTAGGCGAACACCACATACATATCATAGGCATTTGCACTTAACAACTCAATAACATTTCAATAAAACAATACATGAAAACACATCATGCATATAAACCATCCCCCCATGGATATGGTGGAACAAACAATGGCTAAACCGAGGACACGAAAGCTTACCTTGCAAGCTCACTATCCAAGCCAAGAGTCTAACCAAGAGCTCACACTAGCTCAAAGCCCACAAACAGCACAATCACAATATGTTTATACAATAAACAATCATCAATAACCTTTTACTAAGGTTACATTTAGTGATTAAGGCTTTCCATCTCATTTTAAGTCATTTTAGGCAGTTTCTGCAGGAGGTATTCGAATAGTCCTAGATGAGTATCTGAATACTCCTTGTCTCCAGAAAGTATAAAGTAATCGAATACCACAAGGTATTCGAATACCAACACCCAAGTATTTGAATACTACCCATCTAATACCCTATAAAAATAATAGTAATTTATAAAAATAATAAACTAATAATAAAAATAATAAACTATAAATTAGTAGTAATAATATATATATATATATATATATATATATATATATATTTGATGGTGATAGATAACAAAGTATAATATTAATTTTATCTTTGATAAAATTATTTTGTGCAATATATGTGCGATATAAGTGCTATTGGAAATTTATTTTGTTACTTTGTAATACTTCATATTATTAATAATAAAATAATATATATATATATATATATATGTTAGATGATAAATTGTAATTAATTGAATTATTAATTGATTGATCATTTATGCTTTAATGTTTGATTATTTGATTGGTAATGTTTGATTAGGATGAGTCAACAAACATAACTTGATTAGATATGATGAGCTAGCAAATAAGTTAGTTATATTCTAATAAATTAAGAATAGAAAGAAAATAGTGTACGAAGCCAATATCTGAGCAAGATACATCAAAGAAGAATAAGAAAATAATTGCACGAAATTCATACCCAAGCCCAAAACTTCAACTATAAATAGAAGCCTAACCTAACCAAACCAAATCACTTTTAATCCTCAGTATTTCTCATCTTCTCCTATGCTACTCTCTTCTTACCTCAAAATTTTATTTATTTGTTTTAATTTGGTCACAATCGCTTCTTTTCCCCAAATTCTAGAAGGTAGCAAACATGGAGGCCAGGTAATCCTAATCCTTAGGAAATTTTAGGATGTTTTCATATATTATATGTAACCCTTAGGGTATTTAAATTAAATTATTTTAACCTGCAGAAATTAATTGGATTAATTATTGGATTTTGACTTTACTCTAATAGATGTAAATATTTGAATTATGATTTGGAAAAATTATGTTTGAATTTTGATTTGAAAAATTATGATATGATGATTGAATTTGGGTTTTACTCTGGTAGATGTTGAATATGAAAATTATAATATTATTGGATAATGGATTTGGAAATTATGATTGAAAGATTGAATTTGGAAATTATACTCTTGATTAAATTGATGTGGAAATCATGAAAACTATTTGACAATTATGAGAATCGTGACAAGATTGAATTGATTGGGTGTGATTGTAATAAATAATACTGGGAAGATAGCTTTGGGATGGTACCTCTCAAAGTGATGAACACAACCTTTGGGCTTTTATGCCTCTCATAATTATATGATGTGAAAAGAGAATATCCGTTCTTCTCAAAGTGGTATCTGGCAGGATATCCGGGATACTAGTAGCAACTTTGGGAAGAGGTGTTTGGCAGGATATCCAGGACACTAGGAAGATGTGAATTGATTATGGCCAATGTGATTTGTTTGTGACTAG